GCCTCTATCCCCTGAACCAAACAAATTCAGACAACGTTACCTTCTCCGAAACTATTTTCAGACATGTTACAAATTAGTTACTCACTAAGGAAAAAAAATACTTCTGTTGAAATTTTACTCCATCACTCGCTACTTGTCGTAAATCACCACTTAATTCTTCTTCTAGCTATGTGGAAATACTATGTTGACATGTTGTATAGTCTCAATTGCAAGGGCTACCTCATCGGTGAAATGCTCGTGCTCTATTGGATGGTAAACCTAGAGGTTCACTATAAGGAATAAATCCAAGAATAACTCATATAAGTTTATATGGATTAACTCAAAAAAACTTTAAATGGATATATATATATATATATATATTAAAAAAGTTTTCATTCGCAGATTCTATGTACTGCTTAGAAAAGACTGAAATAATATAGAAGTCGAACTGAGCAAGTTTAAATTAATTAATGTATATTATATTCTAACTTTATCGGTGGAATAGTGAATCTCTGAAATTACATTTTACTAATAACAAATGTATTTAACTAAAGCACATGATTATAATTTTCAGTTTCTTCCTTCTTTCTTTTTCGGTGAACTCTACTTTTTCTTTTTTCTTTTTTCAAGTTTTCCTGTAGTTCTTTATTCTACTGCATTACCCACCATGATTTTATTTTCCAAATTTGTTATTTCCTTATTCTAGTACCATGCATCAAGTATCATACATCACCTATATAGTAAACACTAAAATGCATAACAAATGTTTATAATTTATACAAAGAATAACAATATAATATGTTTTACCACTGAAATAACATACTTTATACAATTATGAGAGATTATTCACTTTTATTGTTAAATGTTCTTTTGTCTGCTATCCAGAGCCGGGCCTGTGTTAATGGGCCCCATTCCAGTTTTTTTTTTATAATCTGGTTTTGTTGTTTTATAAATTACACTAGCTTTTGACCCGCGCGTCCGCGCGGATGTATGTTCTCTATAAATATATGTTTGTATTAATTGTAAAAAACATTAACATATATTTTTTGAATTGAATATTAAATTTAATTCAAAAGAAAAAGACCGTTTACATCATATGTGTCCTTTCCAACTTTGTATCAATAAAACTCTACCATTTCCATTTACTATATTGATTCAAGTGAAGTGAAATGAACATCTATCTCGTGGAAAATCAGTATTTATATTTATGTTTTATAGGTTATTGAGCACTGATGTCGGTGTATTTTGTTCATTTTGTTTCGTGTCTTTTTTCTAACAATTAAGTGTAAAATATTAGAATATCTTGTTTAGATTGTGTGAGTTTATTAAATTATTATATAAATTTGATGATTGAAATTATAATTTAAAATTATATTTATAGATATATTTTTTAAAAAATAATTTATTTAAACAGTAACAATAAAAAAGATCACACTAAAAGAAGAGTTCTAGCAATTTTATTAACAAATGCCATTTTTTAAATTGAATTAGGAAATTTAGTTTTAGATAATTTGGTTTTGATTTAAAATTAGTGGATCTTAAACATATATTAAAACCCATATATAAGTAAAATTATAGAGTTTTAATTTCAATGACATTCTATTGAAAAATATAAAGAATCTTGCAAACTGTAAAAAAGAAAACCTCCGTGTATATTCCTTTAAAAAGAAAAGATATGTTTTTAAAGTAATTATTAACCATTCGTTTTAAAAAGATTAGAGATATAGAGGGTGATTGGTTGGGTTGTAAGTGCTGACTTTAGCTTTAAATTTTATCTACAACATTTAAATCACCAATCATGATTTATCATATTTTTTAAAGCTACAGCAAAAAGCTAAAAAAATGGTTGTAAAATCCTTATTTTCTAAAGCCACATTTTTTTGCTGTAGAAAATATGTTGTTGTAGCAATAAATTTTAAAGCTACATCTTTTACAGCTAAATCAAAAAATGTTACAGACTATTTTCTACAGTAAAATTTTTACAGCTACAGTTCAACCAATCATCCCCATAGATGTGTAACAATAAAATGGCAAATGATTTTTATTTCGTTTAATAAAAGGAATATTCATATATATGGAAGTCTATAATCGAATTAGAAATATATAAATTACCCACTTTCTAATTTATGTGATAGTATATAGGAATATAACATGTTTATTGGAAGAAAAAGATTGTGTTAAGAATGATTAATTTCGTTTTAGTTAATGTGATAGCTAAAATATAGGTGTTGTTATGGAAGGTGAGTGATTTTTGTGTTATTGTATGGAGCAAATGTAGGTTGTATATATCGAGAATCTCTGACCAGTATCACATTTATAAAGTGCAAACAAATTCCATGAAAGGAATTTGTAATCAATTCAGATTAAATATTTTCTAATTGTGGAGGTAATTAATGATAACTAATGAGTTATACAAACCATAAGATTGCATCCGGTTTGCTTCGGTCTTACATGCTTGGTTAATGATGATTTTAATAGTATTTAATATGTTAGCATGTATAATATATGTTATTTTTATGCTTTTGGTCTTACGGATTTGGTTAATTTTAATTTTTAAATGAATTTTCTTTTGCGGCAGTAAGAAAGCAAACCGAGATTAATCTGATTTTGATTGGTTCTGTCAAATGTTAATTTCATCGGATATATTTGACTTGAAAGAGGCTGATTATAAAATGTGTTAAATGACCAAAAGACCAATGGCATGGAATGGTAAATATTGAGGAAAAATTAGGGTTATTTCCAAATTGTACTTCAGTTTTAATAGTATAGATATGAAAAAAACTATACACTAAAATAATTTAATAAACCAAAGGAAAATATATAAAAAAATTCTTTATTTTATCACATAAATAATTTCATATTTTTCAAAATTATTTATGTATTATATAAAATTAATGAAAAAAAATAAACATATGTAAAAAAATTGGGGGCCCTTTACATGTTGGGGTCCTATACAAATGTTTCATGGGAATGGGTAGGGATGTTAAAATGGGTAAAATAACCCAGCCTAGCCCAACCCACAAAAAACCCAACCCAGTTTATATCCTACCCACGAAAACCCACAATCATCAAGGTTAATTTAAAACCCAAAAAAATAACCCAGTAGGATATAGGTTAACCCATGGGTACCCAAGCTACTATTTTATTTGTTCTAAAGAGATTATGCAGATTTTTGTTTCCTAGAAACTAGTTTTTCCAGTATGGCCGGAAACTCATTTTTGCGGTTTTGGCGGGAAAACACGTTTTTACGGTTTTGGCGGGAAAACACGTTTTTGCGGTTTTGACGGGAAAATACGTTTTTGCGGTTTTGACGGGAAATCACGTTTTTGCGGTTTTGGCGGGAAAACACGTTTTTGCGGTTTTGGCGGGAAAACACGTTTTTGCGGTTTAGGCGGGAAAACATGTTTTTCGATTTTGGCGAGAAAACACGTTTTTGCGGTTTTGGCGGGAAAACTCGTTTTGCGATTTTGACGGGAAATCATGTTTTGCGGTTTTGGCGGGAAAACACTTTTTCCGGTTTTGGCGGGAAAACACATTTTTCCGGTTTTGGTGGGAAAACATGTTTTCCGGTTTTGACGGGAAATCATGTTTTTGTGGTTTTGCAGGAAAAGTCAATTTTCCGATTTTGGCGAAAAAACTCGTTTTACAGTTCTGACGGATAAATTCATTTTTTAAGTTTGGATAGAAAAAATAAAATTATGGTTTATTTAAAACATTAAAAGTGTACCCATGAGTATCCATTACCCCCTTGTATTTACCTAATCTAATATGGGTTTTAAAATTTTATACCCATGTTTAGCCCAATTAGTTTTAGATGGATAAAAACACAACCCATTATCAATGGATTTGGGTAAACCCATGGGTAATTACCCATATTAACATCCCTAGAAATGGGCTCAGACCCGGCCCTGCTGCTATCTTTATGTTCATATAGCTTAACTTGTGTATGTGTGTGTGCAGAGATTGCTTCTGTTGAAGTTGATCCTCTTTCTCCATTTGTCTTACGTTAAACTGCAGCTGGTCGTGATCCTGATAGCTTTGTTCTGTAAGAGAAAAAAATGCAGATGTATCTCATTTACATTTTTCTTTTTGCCAAGGATGTGAATTTCAGATAAATATGAGAAATGTTTGTAAAGCTTTACAAAAATTTAAAAACAAGATGGGATATACTTTGGCAAAAGGAATAAAAACAAAGTGAGCTCCATGAGAGAAGAAGATTTCCTATGTTAGTTGTCAAACTTGGGAAGATTAATATCTTTATAGGTTTTTCATTTAAATTTTAAGCTCTTGCCCAAATTTTACCTTCATATATACGGGTTTGGTGACGAACACCATGTATAACATAAGTTCCTGCTGAAAAACAACTCTTTCTCTTTGTATATGAGTTTAATGACGACATTTTATGTCCCTTTCTCCACAAACTCAGTTGTCCCGGAAGCAACAGCAGAGACGCAAGTTAAATATTGTATCGTTTGTTGTGTACTGTTCTGAACCATCTAAATTTTCAGCTACTGTTGATTTTTGCTCTAAAATTTCTTTCAAGTATTTACAATCAAGCGCGCGCTTCTTGTTCACTCAAACTGTCTTTTCAGGACAACCTACTAGAATTGCTCCAAAATAAATGTTGGTATAACGGCTACATCACTAAAAAAATAGGCTAGATTAAAAATATTTAATAATTTAGACAAACCCTTAGCTTGATTAAAAATAAAATAATAATGGGATTGGCAATTTGCGAGTGATGTAAACAAAAATCTATAATGGATATTTGAGGCTGAATATATAGAAAGATGTTTAAATTTATTTGTCAACAAAGCTAAGGTATAGTGAAAAAGAAAACAATTTAACTTTCTGATTGTAGTGCCAAGAAGAAAAAAAAAACTTTCTGATTAGAGATATATGTTACGATCAAACGAATGATAACGGGCCTTCATGAGACCGTCACGGGCTTTTCTCGTGTGATTTTATTGAGCCTTCTATATATATATATCTTTCTTTACATTACAGGTAAGAGTTCCTCTCGTCTCGTCCTTGAGAAAAAGGAAAAAAAAAACGATTATTATCATCTCTTCTCTTGTGCTCTTTTGTCCTCCGAGAAGGTGCGTGTGGGTTTGGAACATGGCGGAATCTGTTTTGGCGGAGGTTAGCGTTCGTCCTCTTAAGATACGGAAGTATCACGGAGCTTTCGAAGGATCATCGAAATCAATTAACAAAAAGAGGGATCTCAAGTGCAGAAAATTGGAAGACGATGAATATGTGCGACAGTACTTGAAGTTTTACTACCAGTTCCAGAAATCCGAGGTATAAATATCTGTACTTTGATATTATGAAATTTAGATGAGCGGGTTTCACGATTCGAAACCCTGTTTATTATAAGCAGTTGTCTGAATATATATGTCGATCTCTAATACTCTACTTGTCTTTGAAAAGTTTGGACACTGATATTTTTTGGGAATCTGTTTTTTTCGTTTTTAGGGTTTCGCGGTTGATTGGGATCAGTTTGATTACGCCTTCTACATTAAATCGTTGGATAATCCACCACGAGGTTTTTGCAATACACGAAGCCCTGACGAGATTGTCCGTGAGGCGACACTCTTTGCCATAGCCAGACAAAACGAAGCTAAGGTTACTATTTGGATCCTTACTTCCTTTGTTGAATGTATATATGCTTTTGGAGAAAATAGAGACACCCTAAGGAAGCTTTTTAATTTAATTCATTTAGGGAACAAAACTTGTGTTAGCGGAGCACATTCAAGCGAACTATCAGTTTGTTAATGGTCTTTTGTGTTGGTTGACATTCTGGGCTGTGGATATGAGTTCTTCATCCACCCCTGAGTCCAAAATCTATCAAGCTAAACTGTGGCAACGCGGGAGACAGCATAAACTTCTCCTTTTCAGGCTCAAGCCGACAGAGGAAGGTGTATATGGTTTCTGCTTTAGTATTCTTTTGGCTGCTATCTTTATATTCCTATCTTAACTTGTGTATGTTTGTATGTGTGCAGAGATTGCTTCTGTTGAAGTGGAGCCTCCTCCTCCCATGCTATGTGAAGACTCTGGTACACTCTTTTCTCTTCACTCTCTTAAAAATACTTTAGCGGAATAAGTAGCTACTTTATCGGATAAAATTGATATTGTGTTGTGTTTTGCTCTCTGTGTGTAGACAAAGACGCTGTTGTGTTTGCCCGAGCTGGTCCTGAAGATGATCCTGGACTCCCCTTTGTTTTCCATCGAACTGGAGCCTGATCCTGGAGTCCCCTTTGGCTAAGAGGAAAAAAGTGTGGATGTATCTCGTTTTGTGACGAGCAAGTGATTTCTACTTGTAAATCAAATGAGATAGCAGATATATAAATCCAACACTACAGCTTCTTCTACACAGACATTTTCGTCTGACCTCCACAACCTTACAATAAGAATTTGGTAATCATGTACAACCACAATAGCAGCCTATTTGAGGAAATCAATAATAATAAGGAAAGCGAATTTCTATTTATTAATTTTGGATGGAGCCTTATTTGAAAATTAATATCACAATTTCCTTAATATACCAAAACATGACATTTAATTTAGCATGTTAATTGTTAAATCAATTAATAGAAAAAGGAAAAAAAACGAGAAATAATGATAGCGAGGGAAAATAAAAGAAATGGCAGTTGGAGTTACGTTAGTTGTATAAAAGAAGGAAGGCGCAATTTGTGTGTTGTTGTTGAGTCCCTCCTTCCTCAAATCTCTCCACCACCACTTTCAAACCTCATCTCTCTCGAATTGACCGGAAAAATGAGCAACGATAAGGGCAGTTTCAACGTCGGCGATCACACTTCTGGTAATTTATTTATCTGTCTCCGTCTCATTTGTTTGCTTCTTCGTCTTAGTCAAAGTTTTTATAATCCCTTAGTTCTTTAATCTGCATGCAGCTCTTAAAGATGAGAACCTAAAAGGCCTTGTCAACGCTCTCAAGGTCAGTTTCTAGAAGATTTTATACTTGACGAAATGTTAGATTTAAGGATTTCGTTTCCTGAGCTTTCAGTGACGTTTCCGTAGCTTAGCTTCGTGCTCTATGTTTTAGTTGATTTGATGTGATTCTTATATGTTTCTTGATTCACAGAAGAAGCTGCAGAATCTGGCTCGACAGCGTTCTGATGTGCTAGAGAATCTGACTCCTAAAATCAGAAGGCGTGTTGAGGTCTTAAGGGAGATTCAGGTTTGGAGAATATTTCATTGGTATTTTTTAAGTTTGAGCTACTGTTTTGTAAGTATAGATGGATAAGGTTTCTTGTGAACATGTATCTTGAACTGCCACCCGTTTGGGGTTATATCAGATTATCTATTGTACCTAGTTTAAGAGCACCCGCAACAATAGATCCTCAAGGGAGAATCCTTAGGGAAATATTAATTTTATAATCATTGGGTCCCATAAACAGTTAAGGACTTTAATAATATCCTTATGTAAGGATTGATCCTTACACTATTCACGGGCTCCACTGCCCACGTGGCGGTCCGCGATTTGTCAGTTTTTTTTTAAAGAAAAAATCTGAAATATCCTTATATAATCTGAAATGTCCTTCTTTTTTTCCTAAGGATTCCCCCTAAGGATCTATTGTTGCGGGTGCTCTAAGATGATGAATGTAAAATTTGTAAATTGATAAGGCTTCTTGTGGATATGATCTTGAATTTGTACCTGTTTGGTTATTTAAGAATATCTCTTTTGTGCGTACTCTAAAATGATGAATGTCAAATTTGTAGATTGATAAGGTTTCTGGTGAATTTGTATCTTTAATCGCTTTGTTTATATGAGAATATCTTCCTAGCATTGTCAAGATCTAGTAATGTCAAAATGTGAAAATAGTATTGTGCATCATTTTGATGATTATCAAGAATCCTTTTCCTTTTAGGGCAAACATGATGAAATAGAGACGAAATTCCGTGAGGAAAGAGCTGCCCTCGAAGCCAAGTATCATAAGTTATATCAACCTTTGTATACCAAGGTAAATTTGGTTTTGACAAGTTCATAACTATTTTGAACTTTTTTACTAATTACTCTACCTGAATCAGAACCATTTAATAAATACAGATGAAATTTGTTTTTTTTTTTGTTTCATCTGTTTTGGCTAAATCATTTATCGATTTTTTTTTCTTGAAACTTGCATGACATGTGCAACGTGCAGCGTTATGATATTGTGAATGGAGCTACCGAAGTTGAAGGAGCTTCAGTGGATGTTAATATGGACCAAGGAGATGACAAATCTGCAGAAGGTATTTTACATATTTTCATTGCTTGAATTAAAAAAAAAAATTGCTTATTTCAAGGAGATGACAAATCTTTTTTTTCTTACAACGTTCCCGATTTTTCGGGCAGATTTTATATATAATATTTAATTAAAAAAAAAAAATTTGCTTATTTCGCTGTCTTGGTTTGCAGAGAAAGGAGTCCCTAGTTTCTGGCTGACCACTCTGAAGAATAATGATGTTATTTCCGAGGAGGTTAGTGTTGTAGCTATAGTTTGTTTATTTAGAGTTACTCTAATCACATCCATGGAAAATGACTAGAGTTTTATTTTCCTTTTGCTATCAGATCACAGAGCGTGATGAAGGCGCCCTCATATATCTAAAAGATATTAAGTGGTGCAACATTGAAGAACCAAAAGGATTCAAACTTGAGTTTTTCTTCGACCAGAACCCGTACTTCAAAAACACCCTGTTGACAAAGACATATCACATGATTTATGAAGATGAGCCTATGCTTGAGAAGGCTATTGGGTAATTTTGTTCATAACATATTTCGTTTTATGATGCTTGGGGAGGAGTTTCAGAATCTTTTGCTGACCTATGTTGAGTTCTGTTTCTTTGTTCCGTCTCTCAGGACAGAGATTGATTGGTATCCTGGAAAATGCTTAACTCAAAAGATTCTTAAGAAGAAGCCTAAGAAAGGTGCAAAGAATGCCAAGCCAATCACCAAAACTGGAGATTGTGAAAGCTTCTTCAACTTCTTCAATCCTCCCCAAGTTCCTGATGATGATGATGAAGACATTGACGAGGACAGAGTACGATTGGTTTCCATATTTTGACCGTGTTTTAGTTAAACTTTGTGCTAACGTTTGTTGTTCTTTGTCCAGGCTGAGGAACTTCAGAATCTGATTGAACAAGATTATGACATAGGGTATGTATCTTCTGAACATAAAGCTCTCTTGACATCAATTATTGTGAAGCTCTAGCTTTTTCAAGTATTCCCTGCTTCTTGCAGTTCTACAATTCAGGAGAAGATTATACCTCATGCTGTCTTGTGGTTTACTGGTGAGGCTATTGAAGGAGAGGAGTTTGACATAGACAATGATGAGGACGAGGAAGAAGAAGTAAGCAAGACCAAAAAGAAGGTATTGAATTCTCCTTCTGGAATAAGTGTTTAGGTTACATTAATGCACGGATCTGTGTATCTATAGAAGCTTGAGCATGTGTATGACTAAAAAGTTGAATTACAAATAGACAGAACAGTAAAGAAATAAAAGTTTGTAAGATTCATTGTCATGCATATATATATTAAGAGTAGACTAAACCTGCTTTTGCAAATCAATGTCTTATGTTTGTGATAATGAAATAAAATCAATATTTATGTTCTTTTTTAAAATCAAATTGCAGAAAGGAGGCAGACCTCAGTTTCACGATGGGCAACAAGGGGAGAGGCCTCCTGAATGCAAGCAACAGTAAACAAAATCGACGAAATCAAGCAAAAGAATGTTGGGTATCGAGTGAAGTTTCATGTAAGGCATAAGAAAAAACATTTCGTTTGTATATTCATATATATATATATATATATATATGTACATAACTTGTTTTTTTTTTTTTTTTTTTTGAAGATTGGCTTTCAAATTAAAGAGCAGAAGAAATAAAATGTTTACAAGCCTACATAACTTGTTTAGTGAAATAATTTACTTGTTTTGGAGAGGACAACGGATTGGAGATACTCATGGAACAATCTTCTGGCTAAGATTCCAGTAGACGTAGATTACTCTTGAGATGATGATTAGTAATATGCATCCAGCGATATCAACGATACCGTGTAATATGTATATGTAAGGATGGAGAACGATAGTAAAATATGATGATTACTAGTGTTTAGCCCCGTACGTATAGGATTTGGTAACTTTAACATGTATTAAACACTACATTTTCTTGTTAAAATATACTAACATAAAGTAGATTAATTATAGATGATATACCTAGAAGAGTGTTAATTAGTTTGTATTTGCATAAAACCATAAATTGTTGATAATATATATAGAAAACTACAACAACTTGTAATCATTATAAGCTAAGATACTATTGTTTACAATTATTACTTTAATCTCGTCCACACTTTACTACTGATATGCTACCTTCATGTTCTTTAATGGCAACTAGATTTTTACCCGCACTTTAAAAGCGCGGATATATTTTTACCATTCTGATAAAATTTATTTAAATTAATTATTCAAACACAAAAATTTAAAATTGTTTTATTAATATTTAAAAAAGTTCTATTATAATGTTTGATTTTCACGTAATGTTTCCATATCCGACCCAGATCCATAGTTGAACTGGTACATCCGACAATTTTTATATAATCCAGTTAAGATTTAATTAAAAATTTACTAATTAAAAATTTACTAATTAAAAATTTACTAATTAAAAATTTAAGCCAACCCGGTATATATCTTAAAACCCGCTATTAATCTGTATTATTATATCCGTTGATCCGTTAAATAACCCCATAAAAACTGATAATATATTTTTAAAAATTTGTTAAACAGTTCATATTTTTAATATTAAAGAAAATTGATTTTTTGTAATTTCTTTAATAAAAACTTTCTTGTCATTTGAAAAAATGAAAAAAATTGAAATAGAAAAAAAAACACAATTTATTCATATAACAATATTAGTTTCTTTTCGTTATTAATAACCTATGATAAGTTTACATTTTTACTCATTTTATATCTAAAATTTAGTTTTTAAAACAAATTGAATTGACATATCATTATTATGGATAAAATGGAACGGTAAATAATAATTTATAATTTTTGATCGCTAAATAATATGATGCACGGAAATATGATATTAAAATTAAATAGAAAATCATAATTTTCATAAAAGAAAAATTATTATTAATCACAAAATAGGAAATATTATCAGTTACCATAAATATAGGAGATATTAAATTGTTTAATTAATTAAGATTTTAAAAATAAATAGTGATACTATCTTATAAATGTAATAAAAATCTAGGGGTAGAATCCAAAATTTTAACAATAGGATCCTGCTTTAATAGTATAGATGATCTCTAGTTTTTATTTTGCTCTATATCCATGATAAACTTAAAAATTCACCCAAACAAAATTCAATAACACTAAAGCTTTCTATGTTAACCGCAAGAAAGTGGTAAACAACATATTTTATGATTTTTTTTACTGAACCTGCATTTTAAGATTCTTCTCGATCGCCTTTTCTACAATCATTACTGCCATAAAATTCAATGATAAGAAACATATATAAAATCTCCAGTTTCTGTATAATAGACTCAAACAGATTTGTAAAATATTGAATATGTTTTGTTATAAGAAACATATTTGTGAAATATATATAGTTAAACCGTAACACAACTATTTGTAAATAATCAGTTTGTATATAGCAGGTTCATATATACGTATTGTTACCTGAATTACCGACAAAACTCTGAGTTTCCTTTTTTGTTTGAAGAACTCTTTGAAACTGGAGTTTATTAAGTACCATTTTCAACCTGAATCATGCATAAAAGAATAATTAAAAGAATAAGAAAGCATTGAATTGAAAATTGAAGAAAATTATTCTGAAAAGGAGAAATATAAAACTGTATAGATTTTTTACTACACTCAAAACACTGGAAAAAACTGAAGAAGAAACGTTGATAAAAGAAAGAAATAGGAGAAATCATTGTCCAAAAAAAAAAAGGAGAAATCAATGAGTTGTTTGAAGGGACTAAATTCTACATTGCCCCACTCACTACCATCTTCATTCTATTTTAACCCATCATAAATTTGATTTTTTTTTTTTGCTCAAAGTCTAAGTATGGTTAAAAAATCAATAACCCTTAATGAATCAATATTATGTGTAATATGAATTACTAGAAACTACCTTGAATTACTATAAATTACTAGAAACTACCTTAAATTACTAGAAACTACTATGAACAAAAAACAAACTACCTTGAATTACTAGAAACTACTACGAACAAAAAAAAAAGTGGGGCAGTGAGAAAAATAGTGGGGTAGTTAGAATAGTTATTTTCCAACTGGGGTATATCAGAATATTTTCCTGCTTGAAGTTATAAAGAAGTTAGACGGTTTGAAATTGTTGGAAAAAAAGTGTTTGAAATCATGATTCATGTTAGTAAACAATTCATGACACTCTTTCTTTGAAATTTAAACATGTTAGTAGTGGTGTAAGAAAATTTAGGAATCAGTTTTGTCTTATAGTTTCCGAAAATTTGAATTTGTTATTTTTAATAAAGACAAGCGTATGAGAAATTGAAGAAATAAAGAGGATAGGTAATTGCTTAATTAGAGCTCCATTACTTTTGTGACAAAAAAAAAAAAAAGAGCTCCATTACTTAGTTTATGTGATAACTTATTAACTGATAGCCAGAGAGAGATAGAGGGACGGGAAATTATTCCTACCGTTTTGGTTTCCTTATTTTGAAAAATATAAAATATTAAAGTGAAGAAAGTTTATTAAAAGTGAAGAAGAGAGGTTCAAAGTTGTAATGTTGTATGGTACAAAGTTTTGAAAATTGGTCAAGAGAGGATAGCAAACTGATTTTTATGTATTTATTAACCTATCAACTAATCTTAAAGCTCCCATAAAACGGTATAAAAAGTTTTGGTGTTGATAGCTAGGTATTAAATATATCAACAATAATAACTTAGAAACAACAAAGAAGAGGAGACCAAAGAGAACATAACTCAAACCTTATTTTCTCTCTTCAATTCTAAATGTCAACAAAAGGTAGAAGAGGTGGAAGAGGAGATGATGAAGACAAGAGAAAAAAGAAGCTATTTACTGTAAGTTTATCAACTAGAAACTCAAGTATAAGACTTTATCACTTGTATTTTGATACAGGCTCAAGAGAAAGACAAAGGAATCATGACTAATGAGTCAGAGATAGAGCTAGATGAGGATGGAGTAAGAATAAAATTACTAGTTATAAGACAAACAAGTCAGAAAAATAGATGTCCATGGTACTCTATCATGTACATTCTTTGTGCACAATTTTTTTTTTGTTTGCATACTCTATCAAAATAAGACCAAGAAAATTGCACACTATAAAACCTATGGTTTGGGACCATTAAGTTGAGAATCGAATATAGGCTTGTACAACTGTATGTTAAAACTTTTATATTGTCTTGCTTGTTTCAATCAAAGTGTTTTATATTTCCAAAACATTACCAAAAAAGAAAGTGTTTTCAACATATTTACTTTTAATTTGAAATCTAATTTCTAATTTGAGCATTGAGTTGAAAGAAGTCAATAGAAAAGTTGTCATCAAAGATCATATTTTGATGCATTTTTACTTCTTACATAAAAAATAAAACAAAATCTTACTTTAGATCCACGTTCATAGTATAATATGTGAGGTCACCTTTAATTTAAACATCCAATTTAATAACCATATTCCATGGCAGGATACAATCTAAGGTCTTCGAGTCCAAACTGAGATCTTTTAAATTAGAAAACCGGACCAGAATGAATGATTTGCCTTAACCAATAAAGAAAAAGAAAACTGGATCAAACACCGATTTGGTATTAATGGTTGGACCAAGTTCTTATTATCTAAGCTAAACTATTTAGGTAACTAAAAATACTTAACAGGATACTAAAAATCCATATAGACATCAAAAGGAAAACTGAGAAATAAAGAATCATTAGGGAGATTCATCTTAAGTCGCGTTTTCAATTCAGTTCTTAGGGTTTGACTATGTGTCCATGCCACATTTTTTGTATCTAGTTGGTAAATCATATCTTACAAAATTTTATTTAATATCGGCTGCATATGGTAATTTGATTCACAGACCGTATTGACTACAATTGTTGAGTTTGTTTTAACAATATTCAGTTATAGACTTTGTATGTTACAAAAACACTGCTAAAACTCAAATATGTAAGACACATAGGAGATGATAATATAATTAGCACCAGAACAAGTAGTCTTACTAGTCCGTCTCCTCTTTTGTTCAATACCTCTTGTGAGACATGAGACACCTCCTGACTTTACCATCTGAGGAATATTAAAATCTGATAAAACTTGACTACTAGTAACATGCCTCTTCAATTCATCTCTTCACTATTATACTAGTCTCCAAGAGTACTCTATAACTTACAACTTCATCAGATAGCAGATCTCCCCGAGACGTGAAGCACACATGAACATTCATCAAATGTGGGAACTTGTAGAAAAATATATCACTGGTATTTGGTACAAATGAAATATAACTCCTATGAGGCTATGATTCACTCAATCACTATACCTACTCTACTATATATTTCTAAAAATTGTATGATTCTTTCTCTAATTGTATGATTCATGTAACTCTACTATATAAAGCTGTGTAATTATCATCCAACACATTTCATAAGCTAACTAGGTGATAACCGCGCATATACGCAGGATGAAATTTATATATTAATAATCATTGAATACTAATTTTGATCGTACAACTATAATGTCATAACTTCGTCCATTAATAAAAAGTTGATGAATAGGCCAATGTTTGTTGATATTTTTGATTTTTTAAAACATATATACATTGGGCTTCAATAATATCATCCGGATGTTAAAATTCATCATCTCCTTTTGATATGAAAAATTATATATTTGAAATAATAAATAATTTTTAAGAGCCGTGCTTGTGCGGAATGAACATTAATTATGTATACAAATCATTTATACATATTATTATTTATTTTATGTTTATTTACGTATTATGCAGTAAAAATATACTCCCTCCGTTCCTAAAAGATTCATGTTCTGGAAAAATATTTTGTTTCAAAAAGATGTATATTCTATGTTTTCTATGAGAAAATTACAAGTTTAAAAAAAAATTAATTGGTTTTATTAGATTACTATTGGCTAAAAGTTGTTGAAAATTGAAAATTACTGAAAACGATAATGATTTAATGTGTTTTCTTAATATGTGTGAAAACACTAGAAAATCTATCTTTTAGGAACAGAGGGAGTATTAATTGAGAAGCGAGTAACTATTACATATATAGTTAAACTGGAGTAAATATATAAACAAAAATCATCCCTCTGTGTATTTACAATATTGCTTTGTTGGTAAAAAATCAAAATACTTAATTATTTATTTTATATGGTATATAATTAAACTTAAATGATATTAACAAAATTATCTAATATATTTTAATATGAATGTTTATTAATTGAAGTTTGTACACATATGATTTAACTAACATTTTAATATTTACTGTAACAAATATTATTTTTATTTATATGAATATTTATTAACTCATGCTTTCTACTCAAAGTAAATTTTGAAATTAACATGATTATGTATTCTTCTTATTTTATTCTTTTTTCATTTTTTTGTATTCTCCATAAATTAACAGTCATATCAAAGTAACAAATACATCAAAAAGTTTCACTTGTAATATTCTTAATCCTTATTAAGTGTGGGAAGATCCCCATAAATCTATTTGAATAGAAAGTTGATGGACAACCAAACATCAAGTTATTTAATCTCATAGTTGCATTACAAAAATAACATAGTCATTTTGATTAGCATTCTTACAAAAATGATCACCATCTAAAGAAAGAGCTGAGAAATGAAAGGTCTTTGAGATTTTTAGTATTTGTTTTGATTCGAAAGTTTACGAATATCCAGAATTTTCAGATCGAATCGAAACGAATAAGGAATCAAATCAAATTTAACGAATAAAATGTTCAGTCCTAGTATAACTGCCCTACTGTAAATTCCAGAAGAAGTAGCAACATAGAAAAGACAAAACAAAAAAAAGACCGAGGGTTAAATATGAATAAAACAAGCGTTAGTCTGCTAAGGTAACAACTAAAAATGGAGTACCCTACAAATCAACAAACTCATTGAAACTCAACCAAATTTGGTCACAACAATTAGCAAACAAGTTCATGATCACCAATCATATGAATATAACTCAATATTTTTTATCATCCCCCCAAGGAGCACAAATCTTTTCCAGCCCCTTTCCAAGAGAGCATCCCAATCCAGCTTTCTCCTTCTCCGGTGAGACAGAACGCTTAGGAGAATCAGAACCGTCAGTCTCATTCTTCTTGGGATGGATGGTGCTGATGACAGCCTCGATCTCTTCCTTAGCTCTCTCGAAAACATTGGGAGCCTTCACTTCATCCACATGTGTGTTCTCATCGATATCATCACTCCTTCCATGAGTTTCTTTGTGTTGATGAGGTTTTTCCTTGGAATGGAATAGAGATTTGATTTCTTCCTTGGTCTTTCTCATCATATCCAGTTTCTTTTTTCCATCTTCTGCTCAAAACCATGTGAAACAGAACAAGAATCAAGAATCAAACACCAATAACTCATAAACTAGACAAACATTGTTGTTATTGATGTTACAACGATATTGATGCAATGTTGAGAGAAAAATCGTACCTGGTTTCTCGGATTTAAATTCTATTTGATCAGATTCGTCCCTGAAAAAAAAAAAGGGTTTATAACAATTTTACACATATAGAAAACTTCTTCTACACGTTAACTGATGCTAACGTAAGCAATTGCATAATCAACGTGTCTGAATCCTCTTTATTCATTAGCGTTAGACAGAGAGAAGCAAAGCAAACCTGGAACTCTTGTGTTGATGAATAGCCCCGATAACAGCGTCGAATTCCTCTTTGGCGCGTTCAAACATGTTTGGCGCTTTGACTTTGCTCTCATCAATGTCACCACCATGAAACTTCATGTCCGAATGATGTTCATCACCTAACACATACACACACACACAACAAATATCAAATCATTACTAAACCATAGAAAAATCTGCGATGACGATAAGCAAATTGGCTTGTAAGAATCTCAAAATAAAAATACACCCAGTCAAAAACGAATTAAGAAGGAGATATCTTCTCATCGAAGCGATAAGCGAAAGATTAAATCAACTGTTAAAAACATAAACCCTCGAGAAGAATTTACCAGAAACTGTGTTGGCACAAGTCATCTTCTTGCTTGGATGACAAGAAAAATATGAAAACCGAGTAGATTTGGGATTTTCTCAAGGGTTTTTCTCTAAGAGTCGATTTTCTAGGAATATCCGCTGAAAGGAATTTGCATCATCTCCAGAAGGCAGCATCTTCTTTATTTGAAGACAACAACCTGTAATAAGAGAGCCAGACTGGATTACCAAACTATTGGGTCCCACACTTGTAATGGTTTAATGCTAATTATAAAAAAATTAATCCCTCATTTCCTAATTTGTACCGCCACATAACCCATCTTCTCGTGATCATACCAAACCGTAATGGGCCTTTACAAATGCGAATGGGTTTTACACTTACGATCATTTGGATCAAAATTATTTACTATATGTTCTCAACAGTAATCTACGTGAAAAAGAGCAATATCATCAACTCTCTAAGAGCACAAATCTACGTTTTAATGATTCTGTTTATCGCTTAGCCAATAAAAACGGGGCTGCTTCGATGTATGTTCAAGTTGTATACATCCTTCTATAACTCCTCAATTTCTATTTATAATATGTCTTTGTTTTAAAAATAAAATTAAGAATATCGGCTACTATCTAATTATGTAAATATACCCTCATGAGTTAAATTTACATTAAAATTTTTATCAACAATTATTTGCTCCATACTTTAAAATTTTTGTTTCAAACAAACAATTATTTGCTCCTCGAAAATTGTTAATTAATTTAGACCGACCACTGTGTATTTAAATCTCCTCCTCGTACGACGTATGATTAGAATGTAGACCAGTAAAGTCAAAAACACGGAAAAAAAACATGAATCACGTGCGTATTACGTCGAGCATTGACACACTAGATATTTTAGAAGGACGTAAGTCACGTGCCAAACGACATTTACCGCTCACCCAACGAGCACGCGTAGCTCTCACGCTTGGTCACCCATTTCTCCCTCCTAGCCAATCCCAATTAATTACTTTCTTTTCGTTCCCTTCTTTTAAATGTTTTTTTTTTCACTCCACGCGTGACGTACGTTCAAACCCCCGAATAAACCGAAAATAAACCAAATAACCGATATACATCATACGTAATTAATATCAGTTGATAATTCGTACTCATTTGATTGAAGTAGTAAAGGAATGTTAAACATAACGTATTTTGAAAAGGAACAAATATTTTTTTGTCAGCAGCGAAATGATTATAGACGGTGTTTGAATAATTACTAACCGGTTTTCCGGTTATATTAAACCGGGATCTTTTGGAACCGTGCAGCTGAGAATAAGGAAAGAGACGAGAAAAAGAACCCAAACTTTAAGAAACTTCATTCTCTTCTCATCAAAGCTTCCTTTAATCCAATGCGCGTGAAGAGAGAGAGAGAGAGGAAGAGATAAAGCAAAGGAGACAATAAACATTCCTTTATTTTGTTCCCCAGATCACGAGAAGGAGTCGAAAGAAGGTGACTATTGGGTTCCTCTGTTTTCCTCTGTTTCAACCCTAATTTCTCAAAAAAATCAATCTTTCCTTGCTTCTTTCCGAGAGATAATTCTGGGTCTGAGCTTCTGATTCCATTGGATTAAAGGGTTTTCTTCAAAGACACATTTTGGTTTCGATAGAGGATAAAAGTTTCCTCTTTTGAGTCGGCTTTGGCATCGATGGAGGCTCGTGTGGGGAACAAGTTTCGTCTCGGACGCAAAATCGGAAGCGGTTCTTTTGGAGAGATTCATCTTGGTTCGTCTTTATCACTCCAATTTCATTCTGTTCATCATGTTCTTGATATTTTTTTCTGAATTTCTTAACATTGTTTTTGGATTGTGGTTTCTTTTAGGTACTCATCTTCAAACAAATGAAGAAGTTGCCATCAAGCTTGTGAGTTCTTGCTTTGCTGCTGACATTTGTTTTTGTGTCTTGTTAAGCATCATTGTGAAGGTTTTAATTGCAGACAGAGACAATGTTTATTCTGTACAAAAAAAGAAGAAGACATTGGCTATAGCTTACTTACATTTTATTAAGTTACTTGAATTAAATCAACCTTGAAGATAATGTGGTACAATGTATGTTGTTTACTATATAGGTGACATTGGCTATAACTTAAAAACATTTACTAAGAGTTACTTGAATTAGATCAACATTGAAGATAATGTGTGACAATAGTCTAATTTTCACTTAGTTCTTATCTATGGACAATGTATGCCAAGTTAGTATATGATTTTTCTTTCTTTTCCGGGCTTATTTGTTGCTGCTAGTAGTAGCCTTTTGATGAAATACTCAGCGTGTTGTCTTTAATTTCTTTTGCAGGAAAATGCCAAGACAAAACATCCACAACTGCTCTATGAATCCAAGTTATACAGACTTCTACAGGGAGGAAGTAAAAACTCATCTCTCGATTCTGTTTCTTATTTTACACTTATTCTTTTATAACCATGTCCTTAGTCTCTCTCATGAACCTTTGATTATGGCAGCTGGTGTTCCAAATATTAAGTGGTTCGGTGTTGAAGGTGACTACAATGTACTGGTCATGGATTTACTTGGGCCTAGTCTTGAAGACTTGTTCAATTTCTGTAGCAGAAAACTTTCTCTCAAGTCCGTCCTCATGCTTGCTGATCAAATGGTACACACCTCTCTTGTCTTTAATGTGCACTCTTTCTCGTTTAGAGACTAGTTTACTGATTTTAACTCTTTTACAATATTCAGATAAACCGTGTAGAGTATTTCCATTCGAAATCTTTCCTTCACCGAGATCTCAAGCCTGACAATTTCCTCATGGGGTTAGGAAGACGCGCCAACCAGGTTTCCTTTCACTTATATGTTTTAGTTTATTCTCATTTTACTTTTAAAGTTTTTAAGACTTTTTTTTTCATTTGTTTCTAAAGGTATACATCATCGACTTTGGTCTTGCTAAGAAGTACAGGGATAACACTACTCATCAGCACATTCCTTACAGGTGAGATGATTGGATTGTAATTAGTATCCGTTCCTTCTTCCTACTGCACAATTCTAAACTTGGTTCTCATTTTCTATCTTGTAGAGAAAACAAGAATCTCACTGGAACCGCAAGATATGCTAGTATGAATACTCACTTGGGAATTGGTAAGCTTCGCAAAAAAAAACTGATGTAGATTCAGCCACTACTGTCCTTATATTAATACCTTTGATACTATCATACAGAACAAAGCAGAAGGGATGACCTAGAATCACTTGGTTACATCCTCATGTATTTCCTTAAAGGAAGGTGAGTATTTACACACACTGCCTCTTTGTCTCACTTCCTTCTTCACTTTCCTTATTAGAATGTCTTTTACAGTCTTCCATGGCAAGGACTCAAAGCTGGAACCAAGAAACAAAAGTACGAGAGAATCAGCGAAAAGAAAGTCTCTACATCCATTGAGGTAAACTCTCTCAACCACAAAGTTTGATCCTTTTACTTCTCATTAACACAACTTGCTTCATCTTCCTCCAGTCCTTATGCCGTGGCTACCCTTCTGAGTTCGCATCCTACTTCCATTACTGCCGCTCCCTCCGGTTTGATGATAAACCTGACTACGGTTACCTCAAAAGAATCTTCAGAGATCTCTTCATCCGTGAAGGTTCTTGAAAAGATTTTTCTTCTTCTCCTTTCCTTCAAAAGTTACAACACTTTCTTACATGTTCGTGTTATCTCAGGGTTTCAATTCGATTATGTCTTTGACTGGACCATACTGAAGTACCAACAGTCACAACTAACAGCTCCTCCATCACGTGGCCCTGCGGCTGGAACAAGTACCGGTTTGCCTCCAGGATTAACCACCATGGACAGATACGGAGGTGAATACTTTTTTTCAAAACAGAGGAGCACTTTAGTTCAATAAAAGATGTTTAACGCTTTGATTGTTTTAATGTGTTTAGAGGAAGATGGAGGGAGACCACCGATGGATTCATCAAGAAGGAGAATGTCAGGAGCTCTTGACAACTCTGGGAACTTGTCATCAGCTGCTGTTAGAGCTCCAATGGTATGAAACATTTGCTCTGTTTTCTCTGTTTTTTTTTTTTCTTAAGGAGAGTAAAATAGCTATTGACTTTCTTTTTTTTTTTTATTGCTGTTGACAGATGCCAAGCTCGTCCCTGTTTGGACAATCAGCAGGATCATCAAGGAGAGTAACGTCTGAGGAGCTGCAGAGGAGCCGTACGGGAGGTGGAATAAGAAACTCTGGGATGGTTTCTTCAACGTCGGAAAGGAAGAGATCTTCTTCCACTAGAAAACATTATGATTCTGCTATCAAAGGCATTGAGACTCTCCAAGTCTCAGACGAAAGGTATCACCATCACTGAGTTAGAAAGAGAGAGATTGTTAATCATATAAAGCTTTGACTCTATATTAGAGAATCTATATAGTAAATTTGCTGATTTTTTGTGTTGTTTTCAATTTTGTTTTTGTTTTTTACTACGAAGTGACATTAAATTCAGTGTTTGGAATTGGACTCATTGTATATTCGTATATGTATGACACTGTATGTTTTAGTTATGTATCTTTTAGCAAAAATGTTTTAAGTCTACAAAAGGTCAAAACCATATCAAGCCATTCTAAAACCGAAACTGTACCAAACCTATCGGCAGTGCACTATATAACCAAACCAAAAATAATCAGATACATAAATCGATGTCCCTGCTGTTACGCGGTTGCTTAGGAGCTACCATGGTCAGTTTGGAGTAGCCAGTGGCAACTGACTTTGATGAGAACGATGTGGAGCATTGGTTGCTTCCGAGGGAAGATGTTGTGGATAGTTACTTGGTGGAAAGTCCTGTGACTCATGATGTTTTTAGCTTTGAAACTCTTCCTTTGGATGTGATGCATATTGTGAGCTTCTTGAAAGAGTTAAAGTTTGGTCCGGGAGATGGTAAGCTTCTTTACTATCTCTATAAACTATAATTACCGTTTGAGAAGTAGTGCATTGAAGCCATCCTCAGAACTTGGACTTGTTTTGTTCTTATTTATCTCAACTTTTTTATCTCATGGCATGTGTTACTGAAACTGAGTTTAATTTCTTTTTCTCACAAATTCTTAAAGTGGACACTGATATTGCCAACAACCTTTCCATTCAAAACGAGGGTTTTGATCTGAATGTAGATGTGATCCACTACCTCGGTGGATTATTTACATCCCTAAAGTAAGTTAAAACTTAAAAGGCTCAGCGACAGAGATGAAACTGGATCTAGTAAGTTTCTAGAAACACTCACATGTGCTTCTTAGGTATTTGAGTATTTCAAGAAACAAGGACGATTCTGTCACTGTCACTGTCAAGGAACTCCTAAACTTTCTACTCCAACAATACACGTTGAAGCATTAAATACACTTTTAGCTATCGAATATTAGGCCCGTTCCTTACATAGCCCAACAAGACACGTTCTTCTTCTCCCTTCTTGCAAAGTACATTAGCACGACCCAATCAAATACCTAACACGTGTCTCCCTAGGCTAAGGAACGTTCAAGCAGTTCATGTCTTAACGAATGAGATAGTTACACGTGGCGAATAGAGTCCCATCAAAAAAAGCCTGTGGTTCTTTCTATCCTCCTTATCGTCCTCTCGTCTCCTAAAGCCCTTTTTCCAAGTCACTGTGAAAAAGAAACATAACGAAGTAAGGAAAAAGCCAGATTCCTTCTTCTTCTGCTACTTAAACCTTCAATAACAATGGTGTGAAGACAGATTCTTCTTGTTCTTCTTCTTCTCAGCTGAACTTGTTGTATAAATGGAGTGTGTTGGTGCTCGCAATTTCGCTGCAATGGCGGTCACATCTTTTCCTTCTTGTAGTTCCCGAAGGAGGTTGCCGCTGGTTAAGAGATACAGTTTTAAGAATCTTCGGTGTGGTTTGTGTAGAGTCGTCGTCAGAGCTAGCGTCAGCGGAGGAGGAGGAGGAGGCTCCGGTAGTAGTGAGAGTTGCGTTGCGGTGAGGGAGGATTACGCTGATGATGAAGATTTTGTGAAGGCGGGTGGTTCGGAGATTACGTTCGTTCAAATGCAGCAGAACAAAGACATGGATGAACAGTCTAAGTTAGTTGATAAGGTTAGTTTCATGTTCTGCCTTTGACTTGTTTAAGAAGTAAACGAATGTATGTTACCTTTAGTCAACTGAAACATTGGCATAACCCTAAAAATGTTTTTAGTACTAATATACATAAGCAGTTGTTAGGAATAACATCTTTAATTAAAATTCTTCTGACTATATTATTTTATAGTCCCAAAAATCTAAGAACTAGCTCTGTTGGGAACAATTGAATTTATGTCTGTGTGTTTTGAATCTTTCTTTTATTGTTTTCTAACAGTTACCTCCTATAACAATTGGTGATGGTGGTGGTGGTGCTTTGGACCTAGTGGTGATTGGTTGTGGTCCTGCTGGTTTAGCCTTGGCTGCTGAATCAGCTAAGCTTGGACTTAAAGTTGGACTCATTGGTCCGGATCTTCCTTTTACAAACAACTACGGTGTTTGGGAAGATGAGTTCAACGGTAATTAAAAAAAAAAAGACTCAATAATCAAATTGTCTAGAAGTCACCATCTTGTAATAATAACTAGTTTGTTGTTCACTCTTTTAAAGATCTTGGGCTGCAAAAATGTATTGAGCATGTTTGGAGAGATACCATTGTGTATCTGGACGATGACAATCCCATTACCATTGGCCGTGCTTATGGAAGAGTTAGTCGAAGGTTACTTCATGAGGAGCTCTTGAGGAGGTAATGAAAAATTGTTACACACTTTCATCTTTAATGAAAATTTTCACTAGCTATTTGTTCAAGTAAGTACATAATATCCGTAATTAATGTTTCCTAGGTGTGCTGAGTCAGGTGTCTCATATCTTAGCTCCAAAGTTGAGAGCATAACAGAAGCTTCTAATGGCCTTAGACTCGTTGCCTGTGATAAAAACACCGTTGTTCTGTGCAGGTACAAGAGTGGAATAATATACTAGTGATCAGTGGGAATAATGTCAAGGGATCTGAGTTTTTTTTTTGGCAAATGTAGGCTTGCCACTGTTGCTTCTGGAGCAGCTTCAGGGAAGCTATTGCAATACGAACTTGGAGGGCCTAGAGTCTGTGTTCAAACTGCATATGGCGTGGAGGTTGAGGTATGTAGTTTGAAAATGATATGTTCCAGTGTAATTAATTATCATTATAGGTTTTTGAGACTGTTCTGTTTGAAAACTTTAGGTTGAAAACAGTCCATATGATCCAGAGCAAATGGTTTTCATGGATTACAGAGATTATACAAACCAGAAAGTTCGGAGCTTAGAAGCTGAGTATCCAACGTTTCTTTACGCCATGCCTATGACAAAGACAAGAATATTCTTTGAGGTTCTTTCTCTCCTTCTATATTATTCACCGCAAAAAAAGTCTGTTGCTCATCAGCTGGAGTTTCTTGCAGGAGACATGTCTGGCTTCAAAAGATGTCATGCCCTTTGATTTGCTTAAAAAGAAGCTCATGTTAAGATTAGATACACTCGGAATCCGAATTCTAAAGACTTATGAAGAGGTAAATCTAATACAAAAGTAGAGCTTGAGTTTTGTTGAACTTTTGTTAATTTTTGTTTGAGCATTATAAACTACAGGAATGGTCTTATATCCCAGTAGGTGGCTCCTTACCAAACACTGAACAAAAGAATCTCGCCTTTGGTGCTGCAGCTAGCATGGTACATCCCGCAACAGGTTAGTAAGATCAATCCCTAACATCTTTTAGTAGTCTATACACCATCTATGACATTAACATTTATTACACAACAGGCTATTCAGTTGTAAGATCTTTGTCTGAAGCTCCAAAGTACGCATCAGTCATAGCAGATATACTAAAACAAGACACTACTACTACTTCCTTCACCAAACACATCAACAGCAACATTTCAAGACAAGGTAGAGAGAGCTCTATAGAGTTTAACACCTTTCAGATAATTTATAAAAACCTTTTTTTTTTATAAACTTACATTTATTGTTGGCAGCTTGGGATACTTTATGGCCACTAGAAAGGAAACGACAAAGAGCATTTTTCCTCTTTGGCCTTGCGCTCATAGTTCAATTCGATATCCAAGGCATTAGGAGCTTCTTCCAAACTTTCTTCCGTCTTCCTAAATGGTAAATGCATCCTCCCATTGATTCTTGATTCATATAACAAAACAATGTATAGAATATCAACAAAATTGATGTTTTCGCTTCGTTTTTTGCTCAGGATGTGGAGAGGGTTTCTAGGATCAACGTTAACATCAGGAGATTTGGTACTGTTTGCTTTCTACATGTTCATCATTGCACCAAACAATTTAAGAAAAGGTCTTATTAATCATCTGGTTTCTGATCCAACCGGAGCAACCATGATTAAAACCTACCTCAGAGTATGAATGATTCTCTCCTCCACTCTTGGGGTTTGTATATATACAAATTATCAATGGACGGATGGTGTATGGTATGTTGGTTACTAGGAAAACTGGATAAATTGGTGTATAGAATCAACGGGTCATTTTTTTCGTTTTGAGCTGCATTCTCATTATTTCTCATTAAGAGTTATAGATTCAAAAGTAATGTATGTCCATCACTAGTCTTCAGTTTCTAAACATGAGTAATACATTTATTTTTATTTGTAATTGGTATATAATGGTTAGACTATATTTTGACCAAATCAAAGGATAAGAAATTGTTATTTTTTGATCAAATCAAAAGTAAGACAATTTATAATGCATGAGGCTTTATATTGTTTGAATATAGTATATAGATGTTTTCAAAAATGTAAGCAAAAATGCTCTGTTTTCACCAAATAAAGAAGATCTGGAGATTCGGAAAATAAAACCCATAAATAACAAAATTACGAAGAAAAAAGAAACCTAAGAATCTCATGTGTCTTCTAGAGACACACCACATAAAAAGTTTAGTCAAACAATAAATAACCAACAAGTCTCTGAAACTCTGTTTACATTCTTCAACTTTCTGAGCATGTTGTGATGTTTGTTTCTACATCTTGTTGATAATGTTCGCCATCTTTAAACATGTAGCGTTTGCTAGTAAGTAAGCAGCTACATTCCTCTCTTGCTCTGTGTCTTCATATTGTCTCCATTCCATGATCTCTAAATGCGTCGATAAACATTCTGGAACAACTGTTGGTTCCTTCCAGAGGATCATCGGATCATTGTAACGGGCACCATGTTCCTAACACGAAAAAAAAAAAGAGAGAGAAACATTACACATGTTGTTACCTCAACACTGTTCATATAAAAATACTAGTTAAAATAAAAAACCTATACTACATACCGACTTAAGCTTGAGATATTGGAGTCTTGGAGCGTCTTTGAGTAAACAAACAAGTAGATTGGCCCATCCAGCAGAACATGTACACAGCTCTAGATGTTCAAGATAAGGGAAGGTAGTGCCACTAGGATATGGAGTCTGCAAATTGAAATATGTAAACCTCGCCAATATTGAAAATAATAAAATATACAAGGAGAATCTTGAGTTCTTGACATTATTTGAGTAACAAAGTTTTTTACCTCTGAAGACAGAGAACATAGAGAGAGATGACGGATTGAGGTAAGAGACCCTATGAACTTCTCAGATTGGCCACAAATAACTTGGATATTCGCCTCTGTCACCTCTGGCATATCTTCAAACACTAGAAAGTTACTGAATGTATCTTTAAAGTCCATTTTCTCCAAACAAGGAGCATTTATCACAAACCCATGATTCTCCTCAACGTAAGCACGTTTCCCTTTCGAGTTATCGATAGATAAACTCCTCAAAGAAGGTGCATCGATGTTGAACATCACCACATTGTCATCTCTGGTTCTGTTTATAACCAGAATTTCAAGAACCGGGCACCTTTGTATAAGCTTTGCAAATGATTCGTCCCCCGAAAATATAACCGATATAAGGTGCAGACCCTTTAATGATGGCAAACAAAACCAAACCGGAACATCCTCGAACATCACACTGTCGTCTTTGGTTTGCTCTACAGCCAAATATTCAAGAACAGGGCAGATCGGTAAGAAACTTGCAATGGATTCTTCACCCGAGAACTTGACAGATAGAAGGTCCAGATCTTTGAGAAATGGCAAGCGAAACCAAGGCAGAACCACCTTGATAGTTAGTTCACTGAGCGTCAACCTTTTTAGTGTTCCGCAACTACTCATAGTACACTCATTACTATCGAATACTTCTGTTTTGTTTACAACCAAATCTTCAAGATTAGGACAGATTCTTAAAAGACTCTCAACAGACTCGCCTCCCGAGAATGTAACAGATAAGAGATGCATCGTTTTAAGTGATGGCATGCAAAACGAAGGTGGGACAAGAGTGATGCATAGGTCACGGAGTATCAATGTTTTTAGGGCTCTGCATGTGATCGAAGTAGTCACATTACTACTGAACATTTGGGTTTGGTTCACAACCAAATGTTCAAGAACAGGACAGATTCTCAAAAGACTTGCAACGGATTCGTTTTTCCAGAAACTACACGAAAGAAGTTGCATGCTTTTGAGTGACGACAGAAGAAACCTAGGCAGAACAGTCTTGAACAACACGTTCTTTACAACCAAGTATTCAAGATCCGGGCACGATTGTAAGAAACTTTTAAGAGTCTCGAAGCCTGAGAACTTGACCGAGAAAAGGTGAAGACTCTTGAGTGATGGCAAACGAAAGCAAGAAGGAACAACCTTGATCCTTACTTCGTGTAGTATCAATGACTTTAGGGTCACGCAAGTACTCAAGCAACTAGGCAAATCTAGGGTTTTTCCAAACGTCTGGAACCTCAGCTTTCTCACTGACCGGTTAACCGCAAGTTTAACCAAAAAGTTGATGTCTGAAGCTGAATGGTCACAGTTAATCTTGAGATGAAACCTCTCTAGAGTTTGGGACTTGTCAAACAACAAAGATCCGTAAACAAAACTCATAATTCTCACAAAACTCCCACATGTATTATCACTATCATCAAACATGAAATCCGGCACAAGTTTCCATGGATCCTCCCAGCGTTTTGTTAAGAGATGTGTTGCAACGTTCTCTTTGAAAAACGGAAGCGATGAGAATATCTTCAAGATCAAATCATCTGGCAAATCATTGATGCTCAGTTCCTCCATTTGTTTTTTGTCTGATGGAGTTTCGCTCTCAGCTTAGGAAAACCCTAATTAAACTGAAGGACGTAACAAATAACCCTAGTCAAAAAAATATTTTTGTTAGAAGATAAACCCTAGTAAAATTGCGTTGCGGTTTTTTAAAAATATTCTTGTTTAGATTGTTTTATTATCTTAAGAACAAAAATAAATAGAAAATCTTAAGTCTATTATATTAAAAGAGAAGTCATGATTCACTTCATGTGTGATATTTTAGTTTAGATAATCTCTAGAATTTTATAAATTTTTATATAACATTATAATATCTTTTCATATCTTTAATTTTTGTGTGAAATATAAATAAATAGTTTTAAGAAAATTCTAACAAAATCTTTTAAAAGCTTTTAAAATCTTTTAGAATCTTTTTCAAGATATAATTTCAAAAATTATTTGATTAAATTTTTTAATTATCATAAAATATAATTAAAATTGTAATTCATTTTTATTTTTAAGCAAAAAATTAAAATTATATAAAATACTTTTGACAATATCTCAAAATTTTGTTTATGTATTATGTTGGTCCAACTTTATTTAAATTTTACATAGATTTCAGATTTATAAAAAAAAAATATAAATTATTAATGTTACATAATAATGTTTTTAAAAATTGTTACAAAAATAAAAATTTATAAATTTTATATCAATAATATTATAAGTCAGATAAAACTATTATAAAATTGGCTAGAATATAAAATCAAATTATACTTATTTATTGATAAATTTATTACATAATTTCAAATATTTGCGTATTAAAATACCCGCACGGTTGTGCGGGTCGAAATCTAGTCTATTATATTAAAAGAGAAGTCATGACTCACTTCATGTGTGATTTTTTAGTTTATCTTAGAAATTTTATAAAATTTTACATCTACTCTATTAAAATAGAGTCATTCTTTTTATCTACTGATACAAGTTGTCATTTAAATTTGGACCTTTTCTAGAATGTTACAAATAATATAAGTCATATAATTGATTGAACCGTATTACTTAAACTAAACTAACACAATTAATGTAAAGAGACGACCTTAATGTAAACTACCTTCAAAATACGGCAGGTATCTATGTGTATACCAAAAACACATATTTTCTCCTACAAATATGGAATGTTCTAAAAGAATATATATCATCAAAATATGGAATAAGGAAATTTACTAATTATACTTAAATTAAACCAGTGGTTATTAATGTAATATAGTCTTGGGCTTACTTTTATATTCTGAACAAATTATATAGTTTGGTTTTTTAGCTTAGTATTAAGAAAAAAACTCCAAAAACATTGAATAAACTTTTTACCTTAAAAGATCAAAAAATCAATTATTATTTTCAGATCCAAAAGGTATTTAATATTTTTAACAAAACAAAATTATCTATTATTAATCATTTATTTAAATCATGTACTTTAAAACATGTTAATATATTTTTTATTTTAAACGACAATCACTTTGTTTTGATAAATTTCAATGGTAACTTTTAAATAATTTATTGTTTTATTTTTCTTAAATAATTTACTGATTAAAAAAATGTAAAGCAAAACCAAAAACCAAATCTAAAAACTAAAATCCAAAACCAAAAGCTGAAAACACATGTTATATTTGTTTGCTTTGTTTATTTACAAAATAAACTATTTCATATTTTTTTAAAAAAAATTGTTATCATCTTTTCAGTTTTAAATTAGATGTTCGATTATTTGAGATTTGTTTGTTGGTAATATTAGTTCAAACTATCTCAGCGGGTTTAAAAATTAAAAACACAAACCAAAAACTAAAAATGAAAAGTAGAAACTTAAAAACTAAAAACCAAAAACCAAAATCTAAAAATAAAAACTGAAACTAAAAACTAATGAAAAAAATCATCAGCACAAATTTTGGTGAACTGATTTTATATCAAGATATTCTTTGAATTAAGACAAAACCCAATTATATAAATTTTTAATCATAAAAAATTTTCGCGCTTTCAAGCGCGGGTCAAAATCTAGTTACATCATTATAATATCTTTTCATATCTTTGATTTTTATTTGAAATACAAATAAATAGTTTTAAGAAAAATTCTATCAAATCTTTTAAAAATCTTTTAGAATCTTTTCAAGATATAGTTTCAAAAATTATTTGATTAAAATTTTTAATTATCATAAATATAATTAAAATTTTAATTTGTTTTTTTATTTATATACAAAAACAATAAAATTATGTGAACTACTTTTAACAATATCCCAAAATTTTGTTTATGTATTATGTAGGTCCAACTTAATTTATTTTTTACATATATTTTAAATTTAAAAATAAAAGAAAATATATAAATTAGTAATGTTACATAATAATGTCTTTTAAAATTGTTACAAATATTATTATAAATTTTATATTAATAATATTATAAGCCACATAAATATTATTATAAAACTGGATAGTATATAGACTACAAATTATAATTATTTATTGATAAATTTTACTCCCTCTGTTTCTTAATATATGATGTTTTTGGATCATTAAAAAAGGAAATTTATATTATTTTACAAAATTATTTTTAAAGATAATTTTAAAATCATTCAACGAATTACTAAAAAAAGTAAAATTTTATTGGTTGAACAATTTACAATATAGTTAAAAGTAATCTTAAAACCTCAAGATACCCCTAAAAATTTCAAAACATCTTATATTTTGAATCAAAATAAATCTTTTAAAACATTATCTAATTTGAAACGGATGGAATATTATATAGTTTTACATATTTTACATATTTTCGTATTAAAATACCCGCGCGGTTGTGCGGGTCGAGATCTAGTAGTTTATTAAAACAGTAAAACACACTAGAAATGCATGCGGCTAATATTTAGAAATCAAAAAGATAAATATAAATAGCATATGATTTGTATTATTAAGTGTGGCCCATAATATTTTGATCCCAAAAATTGATGTCGGATGGATTTACTTTTAATGACTTGTTTAAATAATAATTCCTTTGTTTCAAATTTAGTTATTATTTTAGGTTTTTCACACAAACTAAAAAACTATTTAATTTTACATATTTTCTAAAAAAAACATAATTACTTATACACCTAACAACATTTTAACTAATAAAAAATATAATAATAGATAAAGTCAATAAATTTTATATTGAAATTATAAAATGATACTTATTTTGAAACAAAAATTTTACTTTACAACGATTACTAAATTGAAACAGAGTATAAATTTCCAGTGGCATTTTCCCTGATATTCCACATAAGTTCAATGTTTTTTTGTTGATTCAGAAATGTCTGATGGATCAAAATCCAGCCCACTAATCTTCTGGGAACATGTCTACTGATGGTAGACAGGTCCGGTGGTCCACATAAATTCAATAATATTTTTATATTAGTGATTCTGTTTTAAAAGAATACTAGATTTTGATCCGTTTTTAAAAGGGAAGATATTATTTTTTGTAATGATATTTGTGTTTTTCTTTGATATCATATTTATGTAGCAATTTTAATCAAAATTTATTTTATAAAATAATTTAATTTAAAAGTTAACCCGACATATGCTCGGATCTTTGTAATCATATGTTCACATGCTCATATTTTTGTAATCATATTTGCTTATTTTCTAAATTTTGATATGTGTTTTTAAAATGCAGATTTATTTCCAAAAATAAAATCAAATTTATTTGATATACATTTGTATTTTTGATTACTAATTACATTTAAATATTACAAAGAAAGCATTATAACTGTTCAGATTATATAATATGTTTAACATTTAAACATAAATAATTTTGATGATGAAATATGTAATAAGATTTTAATAAAATCAGGATATATTGTATTCTTAGCATTTTGAATTATTAACGTAATTAATAATATCCGTACTAATGTGGCATCTACCCGTAATTCTAGGTTTCAGATCCGATTAAATACAACCTATGTACTCAAAATTTTGATCTACTATATTGATCTAAATTTTGCTAAAATTTAATTTATAATATAATTGTAATATTATTTCGTGATATTTTCATATTTGATATAAATCCAAGATAAAATGATAAATTGAGTGATCTGCATATAATCTAGCTTAGATTTTAGATTAAATTATAAATTTTCTATTTAAAAATTTCATAAAACCCAGATATAAAGATTTACTATAAATCATCGCATGATGGAGAATGCTTGGAGTTTCTGTTAAAAATTACAAAATGCTACTAGTTATGATCTGTGTATGAAATACAATGCATGCTTTTACTGATTGTATAAAGTCTTATTCATACATAATGAGATCATATAAACACATTAAACTAGTTACGTGTTCCACAATGTTGAACATCGTTTTGATGATCCAGCTTATTCGGTAGAGAAATTCTATGGTTGACATTTATTTAAATACAATCAAATTCGTGCAAATACTCGTTAACAGTTACACACTTACTCTTTTTTATTCTTATAATTTTCTAACCGGGGGAGACTGGGAATATCGGATGGTGAATATTGCAAGTGGTTTTTTTTTTTTTTTTTTTTTTTGACAACGAAAGGCTGATCTATTACTCAAGCTTGAGGTGGTCTGAGAAACCAGACCGGAATAGAACAACCAACAAATACAAGATCACGGTAGAAGGATCTGGCAGTCTTAGCTAGGTGATCAGATACAGCATTTTGAGATCTAGGAACATAAGAGATTTTAAATTCTGGGAAGCAAATCCTTAACGTCGAAATCCTCTCCAGTTCCGTCGAAAAGCTTGGCCATCCCTGAGGATTCATGAGCATCGCTACCAATTCTTTGCAGTCCGTCCCAAAGCTCTGACATGGCAAATGTTGAAGCATGTTCTCCATTGCCCACCGCAGCGCTTCCAGCTCCGAATGCAAAGCCGACTCCACCCTACTCATATTGCACATCCCCATCAACTGACTATCCCCCGTGCTGTCCTTCCATTCCCAGCCACAACCAGAGAATTGATCCATAGCGGTCCAAGAACCGTCTATCATGCATATATCTCGTAG